AGCTGGAAGGCTGAAATTTTAGGCCGATGTTCCCTGTCCATAGTGCAATTTAAAAATTTCGAATTCAGCTTTCCAAGCATGTGGAGTATCCAAGTACGGGTGTGTGAGAGTTTTAGCGGGAAAACTACTAACTCGGTAACCAGAGAAGCTAGAAGGCTGAAATTTTGAGGAAATGTTCCCTGTCCAAGTACAACTTAAATATTTCAAATTTAGCGTCGAGATATTCGTGGTTCTTACGTACGATCGCTTGAAAGTCTTGACGCAAAAATTTCTCACTGAAGAACTAGGTTGCTTTTAAAGAACGACTGTAAAATGGAAATTATATATTTATTTTGCAAAATTTGTAGTGATTTATGCCGGTGACCGCAAAAGGGAAGTGTAAAGCAACAGCCATTCATACAGTTAATGACGTGAGTAATTCAAGTCCAGTGCAAAAACGCATGATCGCACGGGCCCGCCTAGTGCGTTCCAGCCTGGGTTTTAAAATGATTTTGCTTTTTAGCCAGAAATTTTTGCGCCACAAATTTAAGTGCCGGTACACGAAAAACACGCGTGAATTTGAAATCCTTAAGTTGTATTTGGACGGAGAATACTCTTCTAAAATCTCAACTTTCCAGTTTTTCTGGTTTCCGAGTTGTTAATTTTTCCGTCAAAAAATTTCGTGAGGCCGTATGTGAGGACCGCGCAAGTTTGGGGGCTGGATTTGATGATTTTAAGTCCAAGTGGGTTGTGAACATCGCCTTAAAATTTCAGCCTCCCAGCTTTCCTGGTTCCCGAGTAAGCCGTTTTCCTCCCAAAAGATTTCACGGGGCCACGCAAAAAATTTCATATGAGAACGACGAATGCCTGGGAGCCGAATTTGGTAAATTTAAGTTGTACATGGGCGGGGACACATTCCCCTAAAATTTCAACCTCCTGGACTTCCTGGTTCCAAAGTGGGCGATTTCTGCACCAGGGGCTCCCACGGGGCCGTACGCGGGAACCACCCACACCTGGGGCTGAATTTAAAACTTTTGGGTTATATGTGGACGGAGAACATAACTTCAAAATTCCAGCATCCTAGCTTTTCTCGTTCCGCAGTTAGCAGTTTTCTCACAAAAAATTTCATCCTTTCGTATACGGGGCCCAGACTTGCGTGAGGGTTGTATCGCGTTCCTGGGGTGGCATTTGGCCGGAGAACCCACTAGCAAAATTTTGGTGCCGGAGCTTGCTTGGTTGCCGAGTTGAAATACCCGGACAAAGAACGCACACATACCTACATACACAGACAGGGTCGTCGCAATATGTGTTTTTATGCGTTTTTTGCAACTATGCAATGCGGAAAATGCATATTGACGAGGGGTTGTCTCTGTGTGTGTATGTGTGTGTGTGCGTGTGTGTGTATGTGTCTGTGTGTGCGCAGGGCCTTTGTACCGATTTTTCATCTCGAGACCTACAAAAGCTGCAGGGCTGAAACTTTGGGAAATTAATCTACATGAATGTACGGGCCCCTATTCCCGAAATGGGCGGTCTTACCCACGTGGTACCCAAGTACGGACCCGTGAAAGTTTTCTGCGGGTAAGTCGCTAACTCGCGGACCAGAAAAACTAGAAATCTGAAATTTTAAAGGAATACTCCCCGTCCACGTAAGTCTAGATGAACTCAAATTCAGCCCCCGGGTAAGCGTGGTACCAACGTACGGGTCCGTGAAATTTTTTTCGGGTAAGTTGATAACTCAGGGATCTGAAAAGCTAGAAGGTTGAAATGTTACGGAGATTTTTCCCGTCCAAGTGGATATTAATGTCTTCAAACCCAGCCCTCAAGTATGCGTGGTACCCACGCATGGCCTCACCAAAGTTTTCCTCGGGTAAGATGCTAACTCAAGAACATGAAAAGCCAGAAGAATGTAGTTTTAAGAGGATGTTCCCTGTCCACATAAGTCAACGAGCTCAATCCACTTTTTAGTGAACTGGAAGTTTGCTTTTACCGGAAAAATGCATTTTACATTTTTTCAAAAAGTGAGCATTTACCGAAAAAGCGAGCGGGCTTCATGCAAAAAACTGGTAATCAAGTTTGTGAGGCTCTGTAATGCACAGTCATCACCCCAACAGACGGCCTCCCTCCTGCATGCCTGAAGGAGATCAAAGCACGGCCAATAACAGCCCAAGTGTTAGGCTACAGCGCGGGGGCCATTCCTGCTATTAGCGACCTGCGAGTTTAATGCAAAAATGCATGATCGCACGGCAAGCCTGGTGCGTTCCAGCTTGGGTTTTTAATGTAAAACTTACAGTGATTTATGCTAGTGATATTCCGTGCTTTTGCTAGCAGTGGCATGGCCAGGATTGCTTTTGAAAGGGTGATTGTCGAACACCTTATGGTTTTGGCAATTTTTAACGCATTTGTTGCATGAATCAAAGTCAAATTAAGCAAGATGATGTGTGCCTATTTGTACAGATGAATCAGTTCGGAAAGAATGGAACCTGTGAAGCCGAGGTCTTAGAAGCATAATCCATTCATAAAGAGCTCCAAAAACCTACTGCTGTGAAGTGAAAATTCAGGATAATTTATGCGTGGAGAGTGAAACAACAAAGCCGTGAAATTGGTACGTTATGGTTTTATTACGTTTTTGATGAGCAGCTTAAAATAGGTCTCCAGATTTAACTACGCTTTGATTAAGAATTCAGATCCAACTATAGGCCAGTGCATAATAGTAAGGCCATTTATAATGCAAAGTTTCAGTGCTCGAACTCAGTGCCATAATACGCTATAACTGACCTCTGGTCGGCTTAAAACCTTCGCCCTTTCTCCCACTCTGTGATTTCAAGTTCAGTTTTAATTTAAAATACTGCAAGTCCATGTGTTCAGTACCGTTATGCTGAAGGTTGAGAAATGTAGTCACTGAAAAAAGTTGAAGAGCGAGCACTGGCTGTGACATTAAAAGCCATAAGAGTATGCTTAGTGTATCCCTTTGCACCATATTAAGCGATCCGGCTCTCCGCCAGATTAGCCGCATGCTGGGTCACATTCTTACCACGCGAAGAAGTAAAATCCAATAGGCGAGGCATGTTGCTCGCCTTACCCATAAGCGGTGCAAATGCATTAGTGAGCAGTGAGAAAGAAAACGACCACTCGGCCCGCCTTTAAAGAGGTGGCATATGTACACTGGACAAGCAATGGAGCTGGAGATGTGCAGCGGGAGGCCGAGATAATTCTGTTTGGTATACAGGATCATTCTAGTGACATTCATGATGTACCCATAGTGAATGCCCGTGTGGCCTTGGTATTATGCGTTATTGATAGCGAGAACGAGAGTTTTAAGCAATTACCGGCAGTAGTGGCATATACTCAGTGAGGCAAAAGCTGTCTCTGCGCAACCTACCAGCTAATATCTTCTTGACAACCTACTTAAAAGCAACACCTCATGATGCTTCGCGCAAAATTTGCCAGAAGCATCCCTGCTCCAAAAGGTTGTCAGGAAGACCCTTGGCAAGACATTAAAGTAAATGCAGTCAGCCGAAACAATATGTAAAGCAGTGATGACCACAACACAAGGAGAGCCAGGCTCGGGCGCTGTGCATCAAAATGTGCATAATATCGCCGTGAGAACAATTTGGATTTTATGCACAGTTCGATGGAAAGCACCCAAGTGCAGTATACAGGGCCAGCGAGGCGAAAGAATGGGGGACGACGTGATCACTGTGTCAACCATGCCAGTGCTGTTTGAATACTGCCCTCCTCCTCCTTCTCCTCCACTACGCAAACTAAGCATGCCCTTATCTTATCAGTCCCGGGAGCAGACACGACCGTCCTGAGGTCGTTTCGCTTGCCTCTGCGGTGATCGCTAACTCGATCTACTGTCGCCGCTTCTAATGACTGCTAACCATTTTTTCCTTATCAGTAAGAACCCATTTCAAATTTGCCCCACTCACCACTACTGTCCGCTTCACTTTTTGATGACTCAAAGCTCTCCACTAATCTTCTACTACAGCATGCCTCGTTAGCCTCTCGCCTACCCGGACAAGTATTCTGGAGATTCAACGGACACACGGGACACCGCATATGATTTTCTCACTGGAGCCAGGACTGTCTTCTGCTTTCATGCTTACAAAGCACATCAGTGCTTGCGAAATTTTATTTCATCCGGCAAATCGTCACAGAAGACAAATATTTGTACAAAGTACCAAGAAGCTAACATTCTTCCGCAATTTTGGGGTCCTTTGCCCACTGTCCTTCATCATTTCATAAAAAAAGCACCACAGATACATGTAGCCTTGAGCTCAAATAAAGCACACAACAAAAAAAAAATGAGGTTTTTCAGGCGCTAAAAGAAGTGGTTTCTATTTGATCAATTAAGCCGAAATCCTTGGCTTCCTCAGGACTCATGAATCGGTCACGGTCCAAAGCTTCCTCGATCACTTTAATGTCTTGTCCTGAAAATGTATTAATAAATACATTTAGTAAATTCATATGAACTAAAAATTTATCGTTCTGAAAATCAAAGAACAAATTAGCCAGTGCAACAAACGCTGAAGTCCCACCCACTTCCACAACTCTGAGGCTTTGATAACAAAACTCAGATATTCTACGCATTGACCATACGCCGTTACAAATAAAAATTTGGAAAATATTTACCAGGAAAGTTATTTAAAGAACATCTCGGAAATTAAAAGTTATTTTGGAAAGATCAGAAAAAACCTGTGTGTTTAGCATATATTTTGTTCAGTCGTGCTTTGAGTCTGCCAATTTCTTCGGCTCGAATCAAGATGTCCGACGCTTGACCCTACATAAGAAAACACGAGATTTTTTTCTGCTGAATCAATTTAGAATCTGTGAATATGAGCTTCGAAAAATTATACCTCGGCACCACCACTGGGCTGATGAACCATGATCCGGGCATTAGGCAACGCTGTGCGCATTCCCTTCTCACCGGCACAAAGTAGAAGACTTCCCATACTTGCTGCCTACAAAACCAAGTTCAGTTCGAAGAACAAGAGAAAGAGAGGTAGATCTACTAAGAGGATCAGGAAATTGTTACCTGACCAATACACCAGGTCGCTACAGGCGCACTGACATACTGCATTGTGTCGTAAATGCCTAAACCGGCAGTTACGCTGCCACCTGAAACTCATTCCTTGAGTCAAAAAGAGTCCCCAACAGGCCAGTGAGGCTTATTTCAAAGACACGTCTTTTACTGCAATAAACACTACATGCTTTCTTTCCAGTAAAGAAGAATGAAATCAAAAAGAAATGCTTTTCCTCAAGAACTCACCGGGACACATAATATACATATTTATAGTGCTCTTTGCGCTTTCACCTTGCAAAAACAGAAGCTGCGCAATCACCGAAGCTGCCACGTGATCGTTTATCTGAATATAAGCAATCATTTGGAAAATAAAGGAAAACTGTTTGAAAATTAAGCAACCTCTCGTTTTAATTCATAAATCTAAAAATTCTACACCCGGAAGTTACAGGGGTTGTCAGAGAGTACACTACACCTGAATTTTCAAAGTTATAAATTTACTCATACTTTGATCACTTAATTTATTAATGTAAGTGCGCCAAGAAGTAGTATTTAATGTAAAATTTAATAGTATTCATAACAAAGTTTTTTTAACAGCTAACTAGTATTCACCGACGTTGTATTAGTATTTATCAATTCACGAGAATTTTTATTTTAATAGTAACAACCGTTATTTTGTATACAAAGTTTCTGATATTGATTACTTGACTTACTGATGCTCACGTGCAATGGTATTACATAAGCATAATTGAATTTACTCGTATTTATTATGCGTTTTGTGCTGTGCAACAGCTGCACAAAACGTATACTGTCAGGGGGTTGTCTGTGCGTTGTTTGTGCGTGTGTGTGTCCATAGCAACCTGTCCGCGACTTTCAACTCGGCATTATAAAAGCTAGGAGGCTGAAGATTTGGAGGAATGTTCTCCGTCTACGTGTAATCCCCCAAAACTTTAATTCAGCATTCCTCTATCCGCAGGTAAGACGTACGGCCGCATAAAAGTTTTGGCGGCTAAGAATGGAAACCACGGAATCTAGGAAGCTAAAATTTTTGGATGACGACCCCCTGCCCTGCAAATTCAAATTCAGCGTTTCCGCGCGCTCAGGTATCATCGGCCCGTGAAAATTTTGGAGGAGAAATTATTATCTCGGGTAACCATAAAAACCAAGAAGCTGAAATTTTGCGGTAGTGTGCCCTGCCTACATACAATCCCGCAAAATTTAAATTCACTCTTCCCGCATGTCCAAGTAGCACTTACGGCCCAGTGAAAACTTCGGCTGAGAAAATTATTCTCGGGGACCACGAAGTTAATCTCGGGGACCCCGAAAGTTGGGAATTTGAAATTTTACGGCGATGTCCCCCATTGACGTACAACTTTCGTAAGTTTGGACTCAGCCTTCACGCACCCCTGGGTACCATATATGGCTCCGTGAAAGTTTTAGTAGGGAAATTATTATCTTGTGAACTGCAAAAGCTAGAAAGCTGAAATATTAACGTGGCATTCCCTGCCTACGTACAGCTCCGCAAATCTTCAGCGTCCTCGTGGGAGTGTTGACGAGAAAAATCATTATCTCGGAAGCCAGAAGAGTTAGGTGGCTGGAAATTTCTGAAGAATTTTTCCTGCCTAAGTGGGGGTTTCAAAAAATCAAGTTCAGTTCCTAAGTATGCTGAGGTCTCACGTATGACCATATGAAAGTTTCGTCTCAAAGATCATTCGAAAGCTAGAAAATTAGGAGAATGAAATTGTGGAAGAGCATTCACCCTTCGAGGTTTCAAATTCAGCTTTCACATACTGTTGCGTAAAATTTTTGATTATATTTAAACATTTCAAACAAAATGCAAAGCAGTTTGCACAGAACAAAGCGCAAAGCAGTGGAAATCATTAACAGGCAATCGTTCGGTGGCGGAATTGCATAAAACACATGATCGCACCGGCTATTCTGGTGCGTGCTGCTATTTATTACATCACAAACCATCACTTGGACGCCCCCGAATATACGACGCACATACAATGAACTGGCGAAAGGCATCTGGCTCAAGACCGAAGGGCCAGGCCTTTTCAAGCACAGCAGAAACATCACTAGCACAGAATCGCCATTCCGACTGTCCACACGGCTTTCCTAATCTTGAAATTAATTTTATAACACTAAAATTGCCACACTCTTCGCGATCGCAGTTAGTGCTCAGGGAAAATCTGAACGCCAAATGCAACCGTTTAAAGTATATCTCGAACTCGAGTCATAAGGAGTTGATTAGTATGAGATTATCCGGATTCCAGGATGATTTCATCAGGCTTTCAGTGCGAATTAGTGGCGGGACAGCACTTTAATAAACAAACCGGTGTCATAACGCAGATGATGCGGTCCTTGAGTAGGCGCGAATAGATGTCGTAGACTCGCTCGATGCGTCCATCCTGATCAACTACCATCGGGATCGGCGCCTGACGCAACAGCGTTGTGCTGTGCAGTCTGCGACACGAAAACACCTGGCGAACTAATGATAGCGACAGCTTCATCTGCAGATCGTTTTACCAGTACCATCAGTATAAATTACGATAAAAGTCGTGTTAGTGAGATGCGAAACAAAACGTTTTCGGCAAAAATAAAAGAAGTTATTTACAGCGTTTTATCCTGTAAACACTCACTGACGCCTGCAATATCCGACTGTGGTGCTCCGTGTAGCGTGGAGTACGGAAAACTTTTGTGTTTATTAATATACGTCTTCTAAGTCCATTCAGAACTCATAAGTTTCACAGGCCGTTCCTCTTTTACTTTGCATTAGTACTCATTAAGTTCTTCATTACAATTCATCTATTGCAAAGAATTTACAAGAAACTGCAAACGCTCGTACATCCATTAAATGCGGTGCTCCGTGTAGCGTGGAGTACGGAAAACTTTTTGTTAGCTAGGACACTGAATTCCGATGCGAAGATGGGCTTTTTGAACGGCTCCCCGCGGTTTTGTTAACGGTATTGTTTCTCCCAGCAAATACTTCCAGCTAAAAGAATTGAGACTGACCACCATGAATGTTAAAAATTATTATAGTGACTCCCAATACTTAATCAAATATTTCAACACTTCAATTGTTCTGATTGCGGAATTACGTAAAATCTCACATGTTCATATGTGGGGAGAACGTGAATGTTGTTTTTACGTGCGCTTGCTCAAACTCAGAAAACTCCAGCGCTCTAGCTGTTTTGGTTGCGGAGCTACATCAAATTTTACACGTACGCACTGTCGAGGAAAAGCGCCTCGAATGGAAAACAGGAAACAAAGGAAGCAAAAAGCGATACATAAATTA